ACACACACACACACACACACACACACACACACACACACACACACACACACACACACACACACACACAAAATGTAGCTATGCATTTTTCAACATATTTCTAACAAATGTGAATTTAATGTGGAAACATAGCAATTTGGGGAATGCATCAAGTTATGCATTTTTGTTACTTTTTTTTTCAAATAAATGCTGCTGCATGAGTCTACCCACCTATCTATAACAGTTTACAAAGTGTGCTTTTGTTGAGCTAAAATTTGATAGTGGCTCATCTTTTTATTCCAAGCTTACTTTCATTTTTTTTCTTTTTTTAATGCTGGAAGGTTCAGATCTGTGTTTTAGGTGAAATGCACTCATGTAACTGACATTTTCTTTTGCCTCAATCCACCTCTGCTGCAGTGGTGAGCATCCCTTCTATTCGAGCTGCAGCTTGCTTTTTTTTTATTTTTAATGGTTCTTTGTAGAAGAATGAAAAATGAAGAGCTGAATATGCACTAAGCAATCAGTGATTAATGCTTTCATTGACACAGACAGAATGTTTCAAATAACCACAAGCGTGTCTTTTCTTAGTGGCCTCACCTTCTGACACTTGCTATTTTTTTTTTTATCTCAGATCTGTGGAACACTTTGGGGCTTTTCTCTTTTTATTTATTCATTTGCTTGAGGCAGTGAAAGATGGAACTTGTACCTCGATTCAAAAAAAGTAAAAAGAAAAGAAAAAGGAAAGTGAGAAACAAAAAGAAATGTGTGTATTATTTAAAATAATCTTGTGAAATCCTAGAACAAGTATATTTAATATGCTGCACATTTTAGCACAGCAAATGATCTGGATCCCTCTCACCTCCACGGCACACTTGGACAGAGTTGACAGCTATGCGTAACGACGCGTGCCTCTAGTGGCACCGTGGAAGGAGGGTCGTCATACGCACAGCTTTCTGCACTACCTTCCCATCCAGTACAAACTAAAAGATTTGTAAAATGAAAACTGGGTAACGAGGATCCTTAAAAAAAAAGGAAGAAAAAAAACAACAACAACAGAGGGACGTTCATCAGTGACCATCCTCCTGCAATAACGGTGCGCTACTGGAGCGGAGCGGCTTTCCTCCACTGCGTTTGGAGCCGTTATCAGAAGTGGAACGAAGGACTGGAGTGATTAAACTGCAAGAAGCATTTCTGAGCCACCGAAGTCTGTTGAAATTCCTCAACATTTCTCTCTCTTTTTTCCCCCTCTTCTTTCTTTCGGAGGACAGAATCAGTCGAGGAGAACTAAACTTCCGCAGGCGCAGTTCTCCTCTTCCACAGCGGTGCAGGAGTTCGGCTCGGCTGCTGCTGCCGTGCCATAGTTGCCTTACTTCCCTGTAAGTCAGAAAGCTTCGTCTGTGAGAGGGTATAGGGTGGGGGGAGAAAAAGACTCCTGCAGGGCAATTACAGTCGCAGGTTTTCGCTGATCCTCCTGTGAGGGACCAGGAGAGGGGTTATCCTCATCGTTCAAAGACTGAGAGGCAGGTGGGGGRAAAAAAAAGAAACCCAAGGAGAATGTTGCACCAAGAACAATRAGTGCAGAGTTGTCGCATGTACCCATTTCCACATATGTTCCGTAGAATTCAGTTTTGATGAGCGATTCTGACTCGTCTTTGGAATTTTAAAAGAAAAGAAAAAGTGGATCCCGCGACTTTGCAACCATGCGAAATACTTGGCTGTCTCCCCGGAGTGCGATTTGGGAATATTGGACATCGCTGATTGCTTGTCTCTTTTGGATTCAACACTCTTGCGGGATGCCTCATGTTATACGGATAGGTAAGTCCACATTTAGGTCATTTTTTTACTCATTCACAGTGTTTAGAATTGTAACCTTGAAAGTTGCTCCGCGCTCAGCGCATCTCTGCTTTTTCTCTCTCCACCGCGGCTGCATAGTTCCTTTTTAATTTATTGTATTTTATTATTATTATTATTATTTAGTAAAAGAAGCAGTGTCTTACCGCGCGCCTCGGTTCGCTTGTGAATTTTCCTCTCACTTGAACGAGACGCAGCCTTTAAGCAACAGCACAAAAGTGCATTATAGGTCCATGATTGTTCGGAAAAATCGTCACTGCCTTTTGCACTCAGGTATACGGTGCGTGGAAACATTGTGGGTTAGTGTGACCTCTATGCACTCTGCCTTGTGTGTTCCATTTTCTGCGGCCAGAGTGTTGAGTCACCTGCTATATTCAGCAACCCATTGCCTTCTGTTTTAGAGGACGATCACAGAGTTACAGCTGCACAGCTTAAAATGTGAAAGTTTTTCAATTTATTTAAAGCTCTAATGTCAGAATACACAACAAACGCAACAGCATGACAAAAAAATAATAATAATAACTTGTTCCTTTGCAGCCAAACCTTGGTCCCATTTACATTTTGCAGAGACAAAAAAAAAAAAGGAGAGTCAAGTTTTGTGCTGCATGGCTTTTGTCTAGTTTTCTAATCACTCACTGAGGGACAATGTGAGAATTGCCTTTCACAGACTGGCCATGTGATGAAACATCCTGCACAGCGAAGAGACATGAACAGAATGGAGATCAATACGTGTTTTTTTTTTTTTTTTTTTTTTTTTTTGTTACAAGGCAAATAGTTTTTGACATTTGGCGAACTGCCATTAAGGGCAATTACTCAAAATGGCATCGGCCCATATTAAAATACCACCACTACAACAGCCAGAGTGCAGGCATAGAGTGGAGGCATGCTTAATGGCACTGGGGCTTTTTGTCTTCCAAATGGCTGAAAGTGGATGAACAGTTCAAAATTGCATATTCTATATCATGTATTGTAAGAGCTGTAAATTGCCCTTTTAAAGCAGTCATCTCTTCGCGTGGCACATCCGATTAACACTCCTGACAAACCCTTTGGGTGGCAAATAAAATGTGTTAATATTAATTCTATTGGATTCTAGAGTTTCTAATATACATTTTACTAGACAAAAAAAATGGAAGAATACTGTTAAAGTTCTGTGTTATAAATATAGAATTTATGCTTAACATATCAAAGTAAAAGTGTAAAGTGTTTGTAATAACGTTTAGGCTTCACATGAAGTCACCAGAGAGGCCCTAAGAATGTCAGCTGCCTCATTAAAGTTGATTTAATATGTTTTTGTTTATGAAATTTGGTGATGTTTTTTGGGGGGAAAAAAGCTTTCTGATTACTGATGTGCAGTAAAAGTTACTTGGTCAAAGGGTCAGTATTTCTTCTTCTGTCTTTTTCATGTGGCAGCTGTTCAAATGAAGACCTGAAATAGATTTGACAGGCTTTGTTTTTTTTTTAAGTCAAAGTGGAGACAAACTTGCCCTGAAACGTGCTACTGTCACACAGCTGCTTTTTATAGAATCTATCATTGCTTGTGTTGCGGGAGCAGTTTTTTGTATGTGTGTGTATGTGTGTGAGGGGGGTGCTCTACTTTGACTATATTTTGACAAGCTGAGAGGTGAAACATGCAAGAAGAGGTTGTTGGATTCACCTTAACAACAAAAGAAAAGAAAAAAAAAATCAAAAACGCATGCATTCACTGCTTGCRTGCAATGACTGTGCCTATTACTAAAGTGGTAATATTTGAGGAAAAAAATACCTTTTATATAATTTAATTTTATCCAGCTTCAGCGTGTGTAAAATATGAAAATATCATTACAATAGTGTTAGCATTTTCTATTAATCTACTGATTCAGACCATTAAATACACTTTTAGTTTGAGAGCTTCTTGAAATCAGTGTGTAGCCACTTTATGTGGAAATCTGTGCAGGTGCACATTATCGCAACGGCCTTGCTAAAAAGCCAACAGTGGGGTCTTTTATAGTCAGCTCAAGGTGGCTAATGTCGCTCCCCCCAGCCCTGGTTACCAACCAAAGTGAAGCAGTGAATTTCGTCGAGGTGGGCGGTGGTATTTGAGCGTGGTGCTCCATGTCTGTGCTGTCTGCTCTCGGTTAGGTGGCCTGCAGTTCTCCAAGTACACCATCTGGGTAATGGTGGGTATCCAAGGTAGAGTTGTTGCCATTGATTTTAGTGCTTTTCCAGTGCATTGCTCTAAGTTGAGGACAGATGGTGGCTCCGTCTCATTCAGCAGCTTCTATCTGTTGGAGGGAATAAAAGACCAGTTCCACTGGATTCGTCCTCTGGCGTGCTGTGTTTCTCTTTAGTCCTCCTCAGCTTGCYTTTTGTATTTTCCCCGCTTTTTGACAAGCTTTGCAACCTCTCGTTTTATTTATTTCAATCTAACGTGCAGAGTTTTCTGCAACAAAGGCAAAAATCAAGAAGGCGGGTGAGAGTTTTTTTTTTCTCTTCAAAGATAAAATTATTTGTACTTYCACCAAAATGAAAGACTAAWATAGTACACTGATTTATTTGGAATTTAACCTTATTTTGAATGAATAATTTAGTGAATTCAATCTGTAACTCAACTGAGTCACGTTGTATTTATTTGAGTGATGCTGCTTTTCTTTTGCTCTCCAGACAGGGATTACCTAATCTAGATATGTGTTCATATRAAAATGTATTCATAACCTGCTTAAATAAAAACATAATAATCTGAGCAGTATGTGCTGTATCACCTCTGTGCATTGATTAAAGTAATTTATCATTTGTTGTCTCYTTTCTCTCCATGAGGTTAGTCACTCCCTGACAGGGTTTCATYGAATAATCAATTACTTTATCTATCTTATACTTAAAGGACTTAATCAGTGTCATTTAATCAATCTCCCCCATGATTTTATGTTGATTTTATTTCCTCAGCTGCTCACTTTGCCTCAGCAACACCTGGCCACATGCATTTTTCATTTAGCTTTTCCTGAAAATGCAGGGGGAAAGCAAGATTCCGGCTTTCAATATTGTCTGCGAAACAGCCTCAAAGTTTCAATGTGAGCTGAAAAATGTGCAGTACTTGAAGCTGTGTGCAGCATGACCGCTCATAAGCTTCAGCAGGATAAATCGGGTTTGTGGTCTCCACTTTTAGTTGGAGTCTTCAAACACAGAGCCACTTCAGTGGCTCGTTGTTATCCCTGCACAAGCAGCCGAGAGAGAAACTGAGACGCTTTTGTGTGATTCTTTTTTTTTTAAGCATGAAACTGCAAGGAGTGTACCCTCAACTTGCAAACTATCAAGGATTACCCAAAGGAGGGAGGTGCAGTTGGGTCAGAAGAGTGGGGTAAAGAGGTATTTGGTGATGAAAAAGAACAATGAAGATGCTGAATCAAAAGTTGTATCAAATTAAGATGGCCATCAGTTGCTGAGTGGAAATGAATATTTCATTTTCATCAAAATTTAATCTCTCCCTTGACAGAGATATAGAGGGAGGAAGAAGAAGCCTGCTGGCGGAGGCTCGGGGCCGGGGAGTTGTTGTGGTGAATATGAACAAAGGCTGGTAGAGGTCACAGAAGAATTGGATCCAGGGAGAAGCTTCTTTGATGTGTAATTCCATTATCTGTTAGTGAAAGCAGAGATTGAAAAGGGAGGAATACAACAGTTGTTTTACCTGCTCTAATACACTCCCCCGTCATCCGCATGTATAAACAGTAGGATAAACGAACTGCACAGGAAATAGCTTAGGCCCATTTTCTGCCTCTTCCACTATTGGCATCTGTGTTTCAGCTCACACACACACACACACACACACACACGCACGCACGCACGCACGCACGCACGCACGCACGCACGCACACAATGTATATAAACCCATACTCCATCCACAACATTTTCTAAAACATATGTCTGGTCTCCCTGGACCCCTTGTACACAATCCAATTTCTTTCTCTTTGTCAGCATACTCGTGGCTCATCATTAGCTTCAGTCTTGCTGATGAGAAACGGCAGATGTTCATTCTGTTGAGTGGAGAACTCATCTCTGAATGTGCCGTCTTCTCTACTCATCCGTGATTTTGTTAAGACACGCGAGAAGAAAATGTTCAGCTTTGGAAGACAAAAAAGTGCCTCTGGCCTATCATAATCAACTTTTTTTTTTATGCCAAGTCAGTAAAAACACTCAACACGTAACAAACAGACAAGAGTTCATTCAAGTCAGAGTGAATAAAACGAGCTGTGTTCTTGTACAAAATGATGAGAGATAATGCAGGAACGTTCGTGCAGTGTGGGTTGTCAATAAGACTGAACGGCAAGGAGCAAGTGGAAGTGCCTTCCTCTGAAATCAGTCACACGTAGTAATGTTCATCCAATAATTCAAGCCACTGGGGGCTAATAAAGTGGATCTACCAACCAGTATGATAATCCTGGGACATAGCAGGTCCCTATCTACCCCCAGCTAGCTTAGCTGATGCTCACACACCAGATGGTGTTTTCATATTGTACAACAGAGTGGGAGATCCACAGTGCAAGGTCCTCGGCAAGCATATGTTTGTACCCATTGAAAAAAAAAATACTGGTATGGCTGTGTTCTTCATTCAAAGGCAAGGCAGACACTTTGTTGTTCATGTTCTATTCTTAAATTTCTTTTGAGAGGCTTGTTTTGGGGGGTGGGGTTATCATTTGCTATCTTTAAGGATTTCAAAGAAATTTCAAATACACCAAGAATGTATTTTTACAATGTTATTTATTTTCTAATACCTTAAAAACAGATTTTTCTTACGTTTTCATATCATAGTTTTAAATTTTTGATTTTACTTCCGGCCTTTCTTTTGAGGATGCAGTGGTTCAGTGATCACTGCTGCARTCTTGGTATCAGGTTGTGTCAGGAAGGGCATCAGGCATAAAGCAGTCGCCAAATCCCTCATGGGAGTTTGTTTGCTGTGGCAACCCCTGCATAGGAGARCAGTCGTAAGAAAAGCA